CTGGGCCCAAGATTTATTTGTTTTTATTGGAAAAGGATATTTACAGAGAGGGAAAGACAGAGATAGAGTTTTTCCATCCACTGGTTTACTCCCTGAAAAGCTGCAATGGCCAGAGCTGAGCTGATCCAAAGCTCAGGAGCTCAAGGCATTGAGCCATCCTCCCATGCTTTCCCAGCCCATAAGCAGTAAGCTGGATGGGAAGTGGAGCAGCCAGGACGTGAACTGGTGCTCATGTGGGAATCTGGTGCTCATGGGCAAAGGATTAGCCAGCTAAGCCATCATATCAGTCCCAACTGTGTGAAAAGTGTCAAAAAATAAAGTAAATTAGAAAAATAAAAATAAAACAAATTTTAAAATTGAATTTTTTTCTCCCCTGGATATAGGAAGAAGAAAAAGGAAATGTGTAAACAATGGTCTCATCCTTTCCCCTGATCCTAGACCCTTCCCACCCTGATTAATGATGTAAGTATCAAAAATAAGATTTAAAAACCCTTAATTTTGATTTAGTTTTTGAAATCAGGGCATAATTTTCACAATATGCATTTTAAAATATTTATTTATTTATTTGAAAGGCAGAATTACAGAGAGGGATCTTCCATCCACTGGTTCGCTGCTCAAATGGCCACAGTTGCTAGAGCTGAGCCAGTCCAAAGCCAGGATCCAGGAGTTTCTTCCAGGACTCCCATGCGAGTGCAAAGTTCAAGGCCTTGGACTATCTTCTACTGCTACCAGGTTCATTAGCAGGGAACTGGGTTGGAAATGGTGTGGCCAGTACTCAAACTGGTGCCCATATGGGATTCTGGTGTTAAACATGGTGGCGTTCTTTGCTATATGCCACAGTATCAGCATCTTCCCTGAACTTTTTGAGGATGCTTCATGTCAGAATTTCTTCTTCTAATGGACTGGAAAAAAAAATGAATTGCCATCTTAGTTTAGGTTATGTTTAGCAATGACAAATGTTTTATTTGAAGCTGTGTTGCTCTGGGACAAGGACTAGAACCACGTGATGGAGTGTGCACTGTGAAAGTGCAGTTTTATCTTCAGGTTTGATGCTCATTCTGTGTCTCCACTGGAGGTGACCTGTCCACCCTTCCCTAACTATGGGCTTCTCACATTTGTGGTAGAAGAGACAACTTCTCCAAAGTTGAGACTCTGGGGGTGAGACAGAATGTTGTTGAGGGAGGTAAGGGAAGGGGATAGGGTAAAAATTGCCATTGAGGTGGAATGGAGAATTCTACTTTTGGGGTTTGGAGCCCGCCCCAGACTCAGTGACCACCAGAGGGCACCCGTTGCCTTGCTATGGCATCTCGATCCTCCACTCAAGGGTGGAGAACTTTTTTTTAAGGGGAAAAAAAAATTATTTGGACGGAGTGCAGTGGTTCAGCGGCTAAATCCTCATCTCACTTGCCTCGGGATTCCGTATGATTGCTAGTTCGTGTCCTGGCTCCTCCACTTTCCATCCAGCTCCCTGCTTGTGGCCTAGGAAAGCACTAGAGGATGACCCAAAGCCTTGCACCTTCATGGGAGACCCAGATCTTTTTCTCTGTCTCTCCTCTCTGTAAATCTTCTGTTCCAATAAAAATAGAGTAACTCTTTTTTTTTTTTAAAAAAAAAAAAAAGATTTATTTATTTTAATTAGAAAAGCAGATATTACAAAGAGGAGAGACAAAGATTTTCTGCCTACTGGTTCACTCCTCAGATGGCCACAATGGTCAGAACTGAGTTGATTCAAAGCAAGGAGCCTCCTCCAGGTCTCCCATGTGGGTGCAGTGTCCCAAGGGTTTGGGCTGTTCATGACTGCTTTCCCAGGTCACAAGTAGGGAGCTGGATGGAAAGTGAAACAGCTGGACATGAACGGCTGCCCCTTTTGGCTGCCAGCCCTTGAATGTGGAGGATTAGCTAGTTGAGCCATCATGCCAACCCCAAGGATTATTTGGATATTTATGACATCATTCTCAAGCCATGCAAAGTTATCAGCTTGAAAATCAGCCTACTGTAGATTTACTGAATTTTGAGTTTTATTATGTTACATAATTTTGCTGCCCTTATATGGCTCACTGGCTGGAGTTCTCATCACCCTGTCCCTACAAGATGACTCTAGGGAGGGGCTGTGGCACAGCAGGGCAGGGCGAGGTTCTCATCACCCTGTCCCTGCAAGATGACTCTAGGGAGGGGCTGTGGCACAGCAGGACAGCGGAATCCACTTTTCCCCAAATTGGGTGGTGTGGGTATGAGTGTTCAGGCGGTTTAGAGAGGTTAAGTAATCTGTTCAGAATTACATAATTAGTTCATGAGAGAACTGGCACTAGAACCCAACCTGACTCAAGTCAGCATTCTCAACTGTGACCACTGCTTTTTCAAAAGAAGTCTGGACCTATGCTGTAATGATGGGAACTGTCCCAGCCTCAGACACATTTTAAATAGACTTAGAAATAAAGCACAAGAGAAGGAAGTGTGAGGGCGGTTGTTTGATGCTGCCATTGAGACACTCAAATCCCATTCCTGGGGCGTGGGTTCCAGGCCCAGCTCCACTTGGAATTCCAGCTTCTTGCTGATGTGCACCCAGGGAGCTGGAAGGTGATGACTCAAGTCCTTGGATCCCTGCCATCCATGTGGCAACCTGGATTGAGTTTCTGGCTCCTGGCTTCAGCCTGACCTAACCCCAGCTGTTCTTGGTACATTTGAGGAATCAACCAGTGGGGAGATTTCTTTCTCTGCCTCTGCTTCTCTTTCAGAGAAAGCTGAATTTGTAAAAATCAGAAATCATGCTACAATGAAAGTAGGATCATATGTGGCAAGTCCCCCTCCACCCACCAAAAGTGGGCTGAAAAACACAAGATTCACGGGGCCCGGCGCGGTGGTGCAAGTGGTTAAGGTCCTTGCCTTGCACGCCCGGGATCCCATATGGGCGCCGGTTCTAATCCCGGCAGCCCCACTTCCCTTCCAGCTCCCTGCCTGTGGCCCGGGAAAGCAGTCGAGCACTGCCCAAAGCTTTGGGACCCTGCATCCGCGTGGGAGACCCGGAAGAGGCTCCTGGCTTCAGATGGGCATAGCATCGACCGTTGTGCTCACTTGCGGAGTGAATCATCGGATGGAAGATTCTCCTCTCTGTATATCCTCCTTTCCAATAAAAAAAATAATAAAAATAAATCTTTAAAAAAAAAACACACAAGATTCACATCATTGGACCCCACGTGGCATCCAGATTAACCACTATCCAACCTCCACCTTCGTTTTGCCCTCCTTGTAATACATTAGCATAGTAAAAATCTCTCCCCTTGCACTGTGACAGTTCGCAGTTGCTGTTGCTCCAACAGGAGTAATGGTACAAGCTGAGAAAGTAGGCAGATCCCTATTTCCTGGAAGTCACTGCCCCTTCGCTAGAAATGAATGACGGTTCTGCTATTGTGACCATTTGGGGAGTGAATCAGTGGATGAAAGAGCTTTCTGTCTCATCTCTCTGTAAATCTGTTTTTTCAACTAAAATGAATAAATCTTTTTTTAAAAAGATGTGTTGCTTTATTTGAAAGGCAAATAACTCCCCAAGTAACTGCAATGGCTAGGGCTGGACCAAGCTAAAACCAGGAACTTGGAACTTTGTTGGGGTGTCCCATGTGGGTGCCTGCGGCCCAAGCACTTGGGCCATTTTCTGCTGTCTTCCCAGGCACATTAGCAGGCAGTAGGATCAGAAGTGGAGCAACCAGGACTCTGTTCATATGGGATGTCAGTGTCACAGGCAGTGGCTTAACCCACTGCATCGCAACATTAGGCCCTGTAGAAAATCCACTCTATAGAGCTGGCATTTGGCTCAGCATTTAAGATGTTGCTTGGGATATCACCAACCCACATCAAAGGGACTGAGTTTGACTCCTGGCTCCATTTTTTAAAAGATATATTTATTTTTATTGAAAAGGCAGATATACAGAGAGAAGGAGAAACAGAGAGGAAGATCTTCTGTCTGCTGATTTATTCCCCAAGTAGCCGCAGAGGCTGGATCCGCACCGATCTGAAGCCAGGAGCCTCTTCCAGGTCTCCCACATGGGTGCAGGGTCCCAAGGCTTTGAGCTGTCCTTGACTGCTTTCTCAGGCCACAAGCAGGGAAATTGGATGGGAAGCAGAGCCACTGGGATTAGAACCGGCACCCATACGTGTGCAAGGCGAGGACTTGAGCTGCTAGGCTACTGTGCCAGGCCCTTCTGACTCCACTTCTGATTTCAGCTTCCTGCTAATGGCATCCTGGGAAATGGCAGGTGATGCTCAAGTCCTTGGATCCTCACCATGCATGTGGGAGGCCTGGGTAGAGTTCTGGGCTCGTGGCTTTGATCTGACCCATCTCTGGCTGTTGAGACCATTTGGAGAGTGAACCAGAGGATGGAAGCTCGCTGTCTCTTTCAAATAAAATGATGATAATTTTGAAAAATCTTTTAAGTGCATTTCATGGAATGGGCACTTGGTGAATTCTCAAGAAAAGTTAGATAAGTGGTGACTCAATCAGCAAATGAGTGTGTTTCCTGGTGGGTGGTAAGTCCACGTAGATGTGCTGGTGACCTCTGCTAAGGGTGTCTTCCTGTTATGGAGTAACAATAAATCCAAACTTCTCCATCAGCTGAGCTTGCTCCTTTGTCAAACCACCTACCAACACTAAACACTACGTAAGTGAAGCAAGTTGTGCAAATGTAGCTTCCAAAGTTGCTGGAAAGGAATCCCCCTTCCCCCATCCTGTGGGCATGCTTCTCCCGTCCCCCTCATTGTGGAACCCTTAGCTAGGGAGTGCCGAGTGGAGGGAGAAGAGCAAATGGAGCTAAGAGAGAGGGGAAGGAGGTGAGCTTTTGGGCACACAAGGGTTCTTGGAGTCTTGCATTGGGTCAAGAGTTGGTCTGCTTAAACCTCAGAAGGTGGGAGAACCACATCCTGGTCTCACTTACCTTCTCACCCCTCTCACCTTCTCCACCACTTGAGCAGTATCCTGCTCCTCACACTTGGGCAACCAGCCAACAAGCTCCCCAGCTTCCTGGAGCCCCAGACAGCCCAGCCCACAGTGTCTTTGCTCTGTGAGAAAGCAGGCATGGAATGCCTGAGATCCCTGGCGGTCCTTGGCAAGTGATGGACAAAACCTGCTGGTACTAAGAAGCTCCCCAGGCCTGGCCGCTGACCTGAGGCCTGGCCACGTGCAGTGGATCGTTCCACCTTCCCTAGACCTGCTGCAGCTCCACCTCACCAACCGGAACGTCTGCTAACATGGCCTGGAGGCTGTTGCTCCTCTCTATCGTGGCCCACTCAGGTGACAGGGTGTTTGTCAAGACCTCGAGGGTATGGGGCTGGGAGGGAAGATTGGGAGAGACTGCATTCAAAATGCTCCAGGCGCACAGGTTTGCAGGGGCCAGTGAAGACAGCTGTGGACTCTCCCAGTCAGTTTCTTCACTTGGTCACCTGCTACAAGGGTCAGGTCACACTTGGGCCTTTTCCTCAGCCATTTTCCTACTAAGATATAAGAATCGGTAAAAGTGCTGGGAGGAAAGGGCCAGCTTTTTAAATATTTGTTTGTTTTTAAAATTTATTTATTGGGCCTGGCATGATGGCTCAGTAGCTAAATCCTTGCCTCACGAGCATCAGGATTTCATAAGGGTGCCAGTTTGTGTCCGGCTGGTCCACTTCCCATCCAGCTCCGTGCTTGTAGCCTGGAAAAGCAGTGAAGGATGGCCCCAAACCTTGGGACCCTGTGCCTGAGTGGGGGACCTGGAAGAAGCTCCTGGGTCCTGAATTTGGACCAGCTCAGTTCTGGCCATTGTAGCCATCTGGGGAGTGAACTAGCAAACTTTCTTTCTGTCTCTCCTTCTCACTGTAAATCTACCTTTCCAATAAAAAGAAAGAAATTTTAAAGATTGGGAAGTGGAGCAACTGGGACATAAACTGGTGCCATATGGGATGCCAGTGTCTGCATAGGTAGAGAATTAGCCAATTGAACCATCGTGCTGGCCTCCAGGGATTTTTAAAAAAGATTTATTTAGGGCCCGGCATGGTGGCCTAGTGGCTAAAGTCCTCGCCTTGAATGTGCCGGGATCCCATATGGGGCCTGGTTCTAATTCCGGCAGCTCCACTTCCCATCCAGCTCCCTGCTTGTGGCCTGGGAAAGCAGTTGAGGATGGCCCAAAACCTTGGGACCCTGCACCCGTGTGGGATACCCGGAAGAAGTTCCTGGATCCTGGCTTTGGATCGGTATAGCATCGGCCGTTGCGCTCACTTGGGGAGTGAATCATTGGATGGAAGCTCTTCCTCTCTGTCTCTCCTCCTCTCTGTATATCTGCCTTTCCAATAAATAAACAATTTTTTAAAAAAAGATTTATTTATTTATTTATTGGAAAGGCAGATCCATAGAGAGGAAGAGAGACAGAGAGAAAGAGCTTCCGTCTGCTGGTTCACTCCCCAAGTGGCTGCAACAGCTAGAGCTGAGCTGATCCAAAGCCAAGAAACAGGAGCTTCTTCCAGGTCTCCCATGCAGGTGCGATTTTGTAAGGATTTGTATTGTCCTCAACTGCTTTCCCAGCCTACAAGCAGGGAGCTGGATGAGAAGTGGAGCAGCCAGGTCATGAATTGGTGTCCAATGGGATCCTGGCACATGTAAGGCAAGTACTTTAGTCACTAGGCTATTGCACTGGTCCCTGAAAATTTTTTAAAGTTTATTTTTATTTGAAAGATAGAGTTGCAGAGAAAGGAGAGAGAGATGTTCCATTTGCTGATTCACTCCCCAAATGGCCACAATGGCTGGAGTTGGATCAGTTTGAAGCCAGGAGTCTAGAGCTTCTTCTGAATCTCTCACATAGGTACAGGATCCCACGAACTTGGGCCATCCTCTGCTGCTTTCCCAGCTCATTAGCAAGGACTGGAGCAGCTAGAACATGAACTGACACTCATCAAGATGCCAGCATCATAGGTGATGGCTTTACTAGCTATGCCACAGCGCACCAGCCCCCTGTGAGAGATTTTAATCATCAGTTTAATTCGTCAATATGGATATGCTAAATTGGAAACTCAATGTGTCTTCCCTGGAGATTGACTTAACTAATTAGCTTTAACAACAACAAAAAAGTGGCAGTGATTTGCTCTAAATGCCAATCATATCAAAATAATAACTGGAAGAATGTGATTAAGGATACTAGCTAGCTAGGTTCCACATTTCATTAGTGAGCTTCAACTTCACTGTGGCAGGTTCAGTTTGGACCAAAGAAGTTGCTGGTGAATGTGGCTAGAGAATGACGGAGTGGGTGAACATGAGAAGTGATACAGAAAAGTGGAGGTTGAATTGCAGCTTTGTGACAGATTTAAAGTGGTGGGGAGGAAAGGGTTTAATGAGGCATGTAGGATGCCTGTGCCCATGCCACATGTGGGCACAGCTGGGGAACTCCAGGCTGAGCTCTCTTGCCTTTCCTCCTTGGCCCACTTGGGTGTGTGTCTCTCTGGTCTTCTTTCTGCCCCAGGATGCTGTACTCTCTGGGTATCCCAACCCAGTGAGGTTCAGTCCCAAGAGGGCACCACTGCCATCCTGCCCTGCAGCTTCAATGCCACCCCCGGGAAACTGGCCATCGGCTCCGTCACGTGGTACCGAGATAAGGCGATTCCAGGGAAGGAAATGAAGAATGAATCCCCTGAGTTCAGGGGCCGCCTGGGCCCTCTTGCCACTTCCCGGTTCTCCTATGACCACCAGGCTGAGCTCTACATATTGAACCTGCAAGGCCATGACACCGGTGTCTACGTGTGTAGGGTGGAGGTGTTGGGCCTGGGTGTTGGTACAGGGAACGGGACTTGGCTGGTGGTGGAGAAAGGTGAGGCAGTGAAGAACCCCAAGGCCCAGCATCCCACGGAGTCAGGAGCCCTCCTTTACCAAGCCCCTTCTCTCCAAGGTCCAGACCCTTCTCAGTACCAGGCCAGCATGGGCCTACTCCTCCTCCGTGCTGCATTGTATGCCTTCAGCTTTCTCCTTGTCGCCATGGGCAGCACATTCTACTACCAGAGGAAATGTGAGTGCTGGAGCCAGGGGCTGTGGGGCAAGCTGGGGGAGGGACAGACGTCCAGAAGGAGCAAGCTTCCGGGCTGCTGAGGGTACTGAGTGGCTCCTGTTGTTTTTTCCACCAGGCCACTGTCCCCTGGGAACACCGTGCTGCTCTTGGATGGTCTCTGAGGAGTGACTCTAGACACCGCACTGCTCCCTGGCCTCAGGCTTCTTCAAGAGGCCCCAATAAATTTGTCTCTGGCCTGTCATTACCTCCTGTGAGGACTTTTTGTTGACCACATGTCCCAGAATGCCTCTCTGCAGGTTGCCCTGACTTTTTATCCTCACCTGGAATGGTCCAAGGAGAGTTCCCAGCAGCGGTGCCTGGAGGCCCCTCTCACCCCTGCTGTGGAGCTCAGACACCCCTGTCGCAGACCCGGGAGAGAATTGTGATCCCCAATTATTCCTACTCAGCCATTGCGCACTGTGGCCCAAACACCCACTCCTTTCTGGCCTGCATGAGAGTTCATGCCCCAACCTGCTACCCAAACTTGGTGGGTGGATGGGTAGATGGGGCATGTCGCTTGGGCTTTGATGGTGACCACTGTGTTGGGGGCTGGCGATGAATTGACAAAAACCAGAGAGACATGGGTGACATGATCATATTCTTTACTGGGAGAACCTCAGGGTGGCCCTGCTCGCTTGCTGGGGGTGAGGCAGGTGTCCTATGGGTATGAGTGAGTGCTCAGGTGGGCTTGCTTTTAGCAATGCAGGCGTAGTCAGCATTGGGGTCCTCCTTGATGCTTTTTTCTTCTCCATGGTCAAGGTCAGTGCCCTTTCCACTTTGTACAGGCAGCCTCTGCAGAGACGCATAGTGCAGCTCTGGCTCTGCTGACAGCTGGGCCTGGGCCTGGGCAGAAGGCAGCAATGAGAGGGGGTAAGGAAGGACTGCCCCTACCTTCCCATTTTCATGTCCTCTCTGCCACTGCTCCCTTGCTCTCTCTCCTGGCCTCACAGATTCTCTTAATTTCCTTACTCCTTTTTGCTGGTCTCTCTCTTGTCCTTCTGTCTCTCTTCCCCTTCTTTTTCTCCCATTTTCTTACCCTCAGGTCATTTCTTTCCTTTCCTCCTCTTCTTACTTTCCATTTTACTGTCCACTTTTCTTGGATTCCCTTCTTTCTCTCTCTTCTTCTTCTGGCCCCAGCCTCTGTCCCAGTCCACACCGCCATTGTCCCGCGTTGCCCACTCCCGGGCCCACCTCTGCCCTGCCCCCAAGACTCACCCAGCTCCGCGCCAGCCGATTCACTGCAAGAAAAGCAGCAGCTCAGCCCAGGCCCCTCCCTGCTCTCCCCACTGACTCCCCCACACATACTCGTCCACTTCCTGCAGTTCCCACCATCTTCTTCCTTTGGATGCTCTTCTCTCACACCTCCCTCCTTCGTCCTGCCCCTTCCCACCCTCCTCCTCCATCATACCCAGAGCCAGTCAGGATAAAAACTTCTGGAACAGCTGTGTAGCACATTGCTTAAGGGAGCAGGGAGGGCAGGCGGGTGGATCTCACCTCTCCTATGGAGCTGACACAGACAGGCAGATAGAATGACCATGGCCAGGAGCAGGAACCCCGTGAGTCCCAAACCCGCGTAGAGGTAAAATTTCATATCATCTGGGAAGAGGATTAGTGTTAGAGTGCCCGCTGCTCACGCCTGCTGGCCCCAGCCTTCTGGCTGCAGCAGTTCTCCTCTCTTACTGTCTCAGAGGTGGAAAATCGTCCTCTCCGAGATTCCTCAGTTCAGCTCTTGCTTTCTCCCCTCCTCCCTGAGGGCCACCAGCTCCCTTGTCTCTCATATGAAGCTGTCCAGTACAGGTGGCACTTCCTTATTCCTGGAAGGCTCCAATACCTGTTCAGTTACCACACACTACTCCCTGAGCACCCACAACCCTCCCTGCACTGGAGGGAGGACCCTTACTTACTCTGGTTATCCATTGCAAGCTGGCATTAGGCTGCTTGGGGACTGAGCACTGACCTGGAGGCTAAATGGCCTGGGGCTGGTCATGTGTCCCAAGTTCCTCATCTGAAGTTAGGGGCCTCCAGTTTTAATCATTCTTCTAGCTGAGGCACTTCATTGTGCTGTCCCTGGGCTGGGCACTTCTCATTCGTCACCAGGCATTCCCATAATCACACAGGCTACTGGGGTTGCACATTTGCAGGCTGAGGAACCCGAAACTCAAGTCTGCACTTTTGCTAGGACATCTAGGCCAGGGTTCAGGGCTAGCTCTGCCCAGCTCCAGAGTCTACCCACCTGTCCTCTGACCAGGCAGTTTGCGGGAGCCTCTGCAGCCAGAGGTACGTTTCAGAGGCTGGTAAGAGAGCTGGTGGAGGGAGAGGAGTGGGGTCTGCAGTGAGCATGGGTATTGGGAAAGGAGGGTGACCGGATGCAGTCCATGGCTACCCAGGAGCTAAGAGCTGTCCCCCAGCCCCAAAACAACTCAAGAGAGTGGGGCACTGCATGTCTGAGCTGAGACTGGGGTGTGGAAGACTGTCTGGGCCCCTGCAACTTCCCCTCAGGAACTTCCTGCCCTCCAACCACGGGTTCCTGTTTGAGGGCACACGGTGGTATGGGGGGGCACTGACATCACCTCAAGAACCAAATGTACCCTCTAAGGGCTGAAATGGAGATCCCGTCAGGTTTCTAAGGAATGCTGGGATGTGGGAAGTAGGGAGCAGAGTGCAGGTGGAGGGGGAAGTGTGAAGGGCTCATGGCCAGTAGTGCCCTAAGTGGACAGTGTACCATGTGGGGGCAGCAAGAGCCCACAGGGTCCCAGGAACCCCCGGCCTACACAAAGTCTCTCTTCAGCTCAGCCTTATCTGGCTCTGTGATGGGTCTGTCCATTAGTCAGTATTCCCAGCTTATCCAGAGCTGGTGGCTTAGACACACTCCAGATGACCAGAGCCACCCAGGTGGTGATGAGAAGTGTTGACATCCAGATGTTCCCATCCCTTCTTCGGCTTTAATGTCTTCCGGAGCCTGGGTGCCTCCCCAGTGTGGTGGGGAGAGGAAGTTCCACTCTGAGAGTTGGGGTTACAACATCTTTCCTTTCACACCCTTGGGATGGTCACTAAGGGCTCCAGTTTCTCCCCAGCCTGCTCCCACCCCAACTCAGCATCATTTTTGCTCCTGCCAGAGTCGTGGAGATCAGAATGCCCACCTCTTCCAGGTGCCTTTCCTGATGGACTTTTCTGCTTTGCGCTGAATCTGCCAAGAGCTCAGGATCCTGGTGGAAGTGTGTGAATGGTACCCCACCCCCACCCACCCCGCCAGCTCCCACATGAGACAGGGAGCTTTAGCAGGTTTAGCCTGGTGGTCTACAGCTGAATTCATCAGGGTGCTTGATGAAAGGAGGCACGATGAGCACTTCTGATAGATTTAGAACAGAGTTGATGAGAAGCTGGTGAAGGAAGATATGGTTCATCCCAAAGGGCTTCCTGCAGAAGGCAATTTTCTGGTAGTAAACTCAGATAAGTCAGAGCAGTGGTCTGAGGCCTTCTGTACAGATATCTAGGTGAAGACCTCCTAGTGGCATGGCTATGGAGAGGTGGCCAGGTGCTGAGGTATGTACCCCCAGGCCTGGGGAGATATGCGGAGGCAGTGGGTGAAGAGGAGCTCTGGTGTCTGGTCCATCTGTTTTTACCTTTCCTTCTCTACATTTAATAGCTTTCTGCTGCTTCTTCCCCCACTGCACACATGTCCCCTCCTCCATGTTCCCCCTGCAGAACATTAATGTATGACATAGTCTAGTTTTTTTAAATGTTATTATTAAAAAGTTCAAATGCAGATAGAAATGGGAAGAGTGGAGTGAACATATCTCTACCACTTAGATTTACAATGAGCAATTTGTACATATTTGTTGTTACTTATCGTCAATCACTCTTTTTTTTTTTCAAATAAGCATCAGTACTTTTCATTTCTAAACCCCTTTTGCATGCTAGTCTTTAGCTCCAGTTCAGTACTTGTTTCCCCATTTCTTCTTCTTCTTTTTTTTGACTATAGGAAGACACAATTTTCATATGGGGAAATGCACAAATCTAAAGTCAGTCTAAAGTCAGGATTTTTTTTTTTTAATTGCTTTGTGGTTAAGTCTCTGGGGCTAGACTGCTAGAATTCAAATCCTGACTGTCATTTGCTGTGTGACAAGTTTCATTTCTCTTCTTTTTCTTTTCTTAAAGATTTATTTATTTATTTGAAAGACAGAGGGAGGAAGAGTCAGAGCTTCCTTCTGTTGGTTCACTCTCCAGGGCTGGGCCAGGTGGAAGTTAAGAGCCAGGAGTTCCATCCTAGCTTCCCACATGGATAGCAGAGGCCCAAGCAATTGGGCCCTCATCTGCCACCCCTCAGGCATACTAGCAGGAAGCTGGATCAGAAGCAGAGCAGCAGGGGCTGCACCAGCACTCTGACTAGATGTGGGCATCTCACATCTGCATGCTGGCTTAACCAACCTGCTGCGCCACAATGCCTGCCCAACCACAAGTTTCTTAGCCTCTTGATGTCTCAGTTGCTTCTGAGTGTTTTGGTCAGACTCAAATGAACAATTACTTATAACGTGACCGTTTAGCTTGGCAGAAAAGATGCCCCTGTCTCACCTTGGCATAGCTGAGCTCAAGTCCCAGCTCTGACTCTTGACTCCAGCTGCCTGTTAATACAAATGTTAAGAAGCAGCACCTTCTGTGGGAGACCTGGAGAGCATGCCTGGCTTCCAGCTCCAGCCACTGTGGCCTTTCAGAAAGTGAACCAGAGGAAGGGACCTCTCCCTTTCTCACAAGCAAATACTCAAGAAAGCTCAGCAAAGGCTAAGCAGTTTTTATTTAATGTTAAAGTAGTTTTATATAATAATAACAGTACTAAAAGCTCTGTTATGACCCCAACACAGAAAGGGAGATGATCTGGGACCACCTCCAGTAACCTTGGACTTGGTCTTTGTTTTCTTAGCTCTTGACACTTGCTGCCTACCTCTTGCACTCATTAGGTCCTTGTTAGTGTTTTTGCATATTCGTTCCTTCGTCCTTTCACTCATCCATGCACAAACCTCTAGTTCTCCTGCTGGAATGGGCTCACTATGGATCGTGGAGCTCTCTGGGAGTGAAGCCTCTCTCTTTGCATCTACATCTACTTTTGCAGCATGGGAGTTAACACCCCACTCCCATCCCTCTGGAGCGGGACGGGGAGCGCACAGCACTGAGGCAACATCCCCCTTCAGTGGTTGTGGCTGTGGACGTGCTTAATGCTGCCTTTCTCACCAGGTGCTAAGGGGTTTGGGATAAGCAAGGGAGTGGGAAGACATAAGTCTGGTGTGGCGTGGTTTATTTTGAGTAGCCCATTCAGCCCCCAGGACCTCTTGCACAGCTCTTGACCTTAGGGACGTTGATGTGGCCCGCCCTCCATTCACTTCTGAATTAGGTTGCAGAATGCACTCCATCCTAGAGATCTGCCACTTTCCTGCCTGCCCTGAGCCTCCTTGCTGGGTCACAGGTCCCTATGTTTGCCCTCTGAAAGCTGGTCTCATTACCCCAACTCCTCCCCCAGTTCAGAGAACACAGGCATCGCTGTGCCCCACCCCAGCTCTGGGTAAACAGGAAGCTGGGTGAGGGGAGCACGGCTGTGCGGAAAGCCCCAGCCAGGTGTGTGGGTCTGCAGGGAGGGGTGGGGGTGGGCCCACCACGGAGGTATGAAAGCCCTCCTGCCCTGACCCTGAGGCAGAGTCTGCATGGGGGCCCTGGAGCTGGAGGGCCGGGGGAGGAGGCCCCAGGGGAGGGGCTGCTTCCTGCTGGCTGTGGCAGGGGCCACCTCCTTGGTGACCCTACTGCTGGCAGTGCCTATCACCATCCTGGCTGTGCTGGCCTTGGTGCCCCAGGAGCAGGGAGGACTGGTGAGTGGTTCCAACAGGCCATGGAGGCTGCCTCTTGCCGAGGCCTCTGCCTGCCGGGGTCAAGCTGGCTGGCTAGCTTCCCTCAGTGGGCATGCCCTTGAACATGCCTGGCCTTTTGTGCTGTTGACTTGCTTTCCAGCCTTCTGCCACACCCTGTGTCCCCATATCCCCAAGCCCCTTCTTGGCTGTGTGTCTTCTCTGCCCGCCTCTGCCCAAGGGCATGTCTCGCTTGCACTCCCTTCCTGAGAATGTGTGTTGGGGATAGTGCTGGCATCCCCAGGCCTGGAGCATGGGTCCCTGCTGGGAGGGTGGGGCTGATTATCAGCTCAATCTAAACTCTGTACATGGTAACCCGGCCCAAGCAGGTCCCAGAGGCAGCTGATCCTGGGGCCCAGGCCCAACAAGGAGTAGGTAAGAGCGAACCATTGCCTCCTAGATGCTGCGACACCCCCTCCTGGGGAATAAGAGGGGATGCCCACTCCCCAGCACCAAATAGCTTCCCATCCTCCCCATCCTTGGGCTCCCTGAGTGGAGGAATTAAATGGGGGAACAAGCATGGGTGGCCTCTGGACCCCACCTGAGGACTCTTTGTCCCTTGCAGGGTTTCAGCAGCTGCCAGGGCAAGGGGACAGGGAGGTGGAGGACGATGTGGACCTCAGCACTAGGCTGCCCGCTGCCCACATCATAGGTAAGCAAGGATTTCTCGACCCCAGGTCTGAATTGAAATAGCCCAAGAGCGCCAGCACTACTCACCCACAGTTAGGCTCCCTTTGCTCTGCTCATCCAGGACTGGGGTTTCCCATCTACCCCACCACCTCTCATACCTCCAGCGCCCACCCTTCTCTTCCGCTCAACCCACAGTTGTAGCTCTCCACCCCTCCCTGCCCAGAGCGTCCCACCACAGCCTCCGTACCCCATATTGCACTCTCTACTCGGCGCTATGTCCAGAGGCAGCACCTCCACCCCACACAGCCCACCTTGAGGCCTGCAGGAGCTGGGGCAAAAGCTCCTATGGTCTCTGCCCCAGCCCTCGCAGCCCCCAGGCCCGGACCGCGCCTCTGAAAGGCTCGTTTCCCACCGGCCCGTCCCTCCGCAGGCTCTTGGATGAAGGGACAGGGACTAGGCTGGGAGGCGAACAAAGAAGAAGCTTTTCTGCGGAGCGGGACGCAGTTTTCGGGCGCAGCCGGGCTGGCGCTCCCGCAGGACGGCCTCTACTACCTCTACTGTCACGTCGGCTACCGGGGCCGGGCGCCCCCTGCCGGCGGGGACCCCCGCGGCCGCTCGGTGGTGGTGCTGCGCAGCTCGCTGTACCGCGCAGGGGGCGCCTACGGGCCGGGCGCGCCGCAGCTGCTGCTCGAGGGCGCCGAGACCGTGACCTCCGTGGTGGACTGGGACGGCAGGCGCGAGTACGGGCCGCTGTGGTACACGAGCGTGGGCTTCGGCGGCCTGGTGCAGCTCCGGAGGGGCGAGAGGGTGTACGTCAACATCAGTCACCCGGATATGGTGGACTACAGGAGAGGGAAGACCTCCTTCGGGGCCGTGATGGTGGGGTGAAGGTTGGCCCCCCCGCCACCGTGACCGTAAGAACAGTCTGCAGGAGGAGAGTGGAAATAAAGAGTGTGAAATTGCTGTGCCGACCTTGAGGCGCTAACGTGTCTTCATCCTGGAGTTGGTTAAAAGTTCTCTTAATTTTTCATGCCACCTGTTGGGTGTGGGTTTTGCTCTGAAAGATAGTGACCCGCCCAGCCTCTCCGTTCCTGCCTCTGAACCACCAGGCCCCAGCGTTGGTCTGGTTGGAGGGTAGAAGGAAGGAGCTGTGCTACAACCCGGTAACATCTGCCAGCGCCCTGACTGTCATTATAGCATGGCTCCCCACCCCGAGGTCTGTCATTGCTCCTAATCATGAGAGGGTCACTTAGGGGAAGGCAAGTGCCACTCAGAAGGGGATAGCAGCACTGTGAACCCCTAATCAAGTCGTTCCTACCCCATGGCAACCCTTCTCCACCCAGTAGTGGGCGAGGCTTGTGCAGTGTGAAGAGGCTGAAGAAAGAAAGCAGGGTCAGGTGCCAAGTGGGGCTGGGGAAAGGGAAGAAGCAGTGGTGCCCTGAGACCTCAGGGAGAGCCTGAGGCTGAGGGCGTGTGTGTCGGGGTGGGGTGTGTGTGTGTGAGGGGGAAGTTGATGCCCCAGGGTCCTGTGCTGGGTGGGATGGAAAGACTTCACCCGTGGTTCACACTTTAGGTCCTCTTTCCCCAAAGTGGGCAATTGTGGGGCCTCCTGGGGTGAGAAACAACGTGACTGACCCACCCATGATCAAACTTTCAGCCTGCGGTTGGTTGGAGGAGGCAGAAGAGAACCCACGTCCCCATCTAGGTCACCCCGTGGGTCCCAACACCTCCGCAGTAAGCCACATAGTTGGTTTTCCCCTGCCTAGCAACCTGGGTGGAAGAAAAACCCAACTTCTGAGCTCACAGGGGGCTCCCTTTCCTTGGGGCTCCATTGCCCTTCGTATTTAACTGCATATCTGTGTCCAGAGCATCTCCCTGCAGGGGAACAGATGGCAAAGATTGTTCGCTTGGCTCAGTAGGGTGCTTGTCACCCATGTGGGAGATCTGTTTTGAGTAGGGTGCTTGTCACCCATGTGGGAGATCTGTTTTGAGTTCCCGGCTCCTGGCTTCATCCTGACCTGGCTATTGAGGCATTTTGAGAGTGAATCAGAACGTGGATGGTTTTTCTTTCTCTCGAGTAAATTGTTTTAAGATAAAACTTAGCTTATTTATTGGGAAGACAAAGTTAGAAGGAGAGAGAGAGAGATCTTCTATCTGCTGATGCACTCCCTAAATTGGCAGGGCTAGCCCCAGGCCAAATCTCAGAGTTTGATTTGGGTCTCCCACATGGATGCAGGGACCTAACTTCTTGGGCCATCTGCTACTGCTTTCTTAGGCTCATTAGCAGGGAGATGCATTGGAAGTGATACAGCCAAAATAAATGAATGAATGAATGAATGAATAAACAAAAATGGAAGTGATGCAGCCAGGACTCAAACTAGTAGCTATATAGGATGCTGGCTTTGTAGGCAGGGGCCTAACCATGACACCACAACACCAGCCCCAATATATATACATATATTAATCCACTTTAAAAAGATTCATTTGTTTTTAGTGGAAAGGCAGATTTATAGACAGGAGACACAGAGAGAAAGATCTTTTGTCTGCTGGTTTAATTCCCAAGTGGCCGCACGGCCAGAGCTGAGCTGATCTGGAAGCAGTAGCTTCTTCTGGGTCTCCCACATGGGTGTGGAGTCCCAAGGCCTTGGGCCATCCTCAACTGCTTTCCCAGGCCACAATCAGGGAGCTGGATGGGAAGTGGAGCAACCAGGTCATGAATTGGCACCCCTATGGGACCAGACACTTGCAAGGCAATGATTTAGCCACTGAGCCATTGCACCAGCTCCTTTAAGTCCAGTTTCAGCCAGGAACACTGCTAAGTCCATTTAGCAAAAACTCTCTGCATTCTATTCTCCATATCTGATCATCTGCGTTTTTATTTTGTTTTTAAAATGTGAAAGGTAGGGAAAGCACATAAAGAGAGTGCTCTGTAATCCACTGACTCACCATTCAAATATCCGTTAACAAGCCAGGGGTGGCAAGGAGCTAGGAGCTCAATCCAGCTCTCCCACATAGGTGGGGGTATCCCAACTCTGGCATGATCAACTGCTGCCTCTCAGGGTACACGTTACCAGGAAGCTGCGATTGGGAGCACAGCAGGGACTTGAATGCAGGCACATTGATAATGGGGTAAAATGTCCCAAGTGGTATCTAACTGCCACTCTGTCGTCCCCCGATCATCCTCAATGTCTGATCAAGTTCCTCACCAGCTGCCAGACGATGTCTGATCACCTTGGGCCATCTATATCCAGATTCCTCTTGGGTGAGTTTAGCCAGAATCTCCCTGATCCCTACACCTCCTCCACATACTTCTGCCTTGCATCTTGGCTTTTAAGTCTCATTTGCCCTGGCTGTTTGTGAGTTGCGCTCCATCTCTCTTCCGGCAAATAAGGCCCTGTGAAAGTAGTCGCTATACCTATTGTGACGGTCCTGGATAAAGCCTACTGAGGAACATGAAGTAATATTTTATTTTTCTTTAGCAGGAATGCTTTTGTCTTCCCAGTTTACTCACTTCACCCATTTTATTCATCATTCACCAAAAATGATCAGTGAAACTGAACTAGCACATGGCTATTTCACCCATGGATTACTCCTCATTGCTTATTTTCTGTAGTCTCTTCTATTTCACCCACTGACAATTGGCTGTGGTTAACCAAAGAAAGGCAGAATTCAAGGATTGTCTCCCTTGCAGGTGCTGAGCCCAGACCCTCTATGTGGTGGATGTTCCTACTGCCTTTGATAGATTATGGGAGATGACTACTGCAGGTTGTTGTTGGGATGGGGCTGAACAAGAGACCTGGGCTTCACTGATCTGGAGCCTAGACACCTGAATCTCTGGAAGTCCCTTGGCTGTGATTCAGGTACCTGAGAATGTGGCACCTCCCCTGCTCTGTCAGGCCACAATAGCAGGAAAGAGCTGCAGGACTTTCCCAACAGGGATTGGAATTCCCAGAGTGGGAAATTCCCAAGCCCCAAGGGAGAGGTAATTAGATTTAGGCTCCTGCTTCCTGGGGCAGAGGGGATATTTATGTGTCTGTAGGGTCTCTGGGACCCCAGGAGTCTGGGATCCTCAGGATCTCAACTCCTGTAGAGAGAGCCAGCTTCAGAAAGTGGGCTTCCCCTCATGCCCCGCCCCCAAGAAGAGACAGATGAAGAATCAATTTCAAGAGAGACTCGGGGACGGGCATTTAATCTGTGGTTGAGACTTGTGGGTCCCATGTTCAAGTGCCTGGGTTTGATTCCTGGTTCCGCCACTGAGTCCAGCTCCCTGCTGCAGATCATGGGATACAGTGGTGAGGGCTCCAGTGTTTGAGCTCTTGTCACCCCACATGGAAGACCTGGATTGAGTGCCTGACTCCTTGCTTCAGCATGTGAAAAGAAAACCATGGATAGGAGCTCTTTCTTTAGCTATCTCTCTACTTTTCAAATAAACAGAAGAAAGAGGGAAGGAGACTTGATTTTTTTTTTTAAAGCAGTCTTTATTTCTCGCCACTGACCAGTAGGGCGATTACTGACACAGCTCCCTTGGGGAGCAGAGGTTTAGCGATGTAGCGACAGTCAGTCACCAAATCAGCATTATGTAGACAACTTGATTAGATAAATATCTTTTCAAACACATAAGCCAATGGAAGCACAGAGGCCAGGAGACCAGGTGGAATCACCCTATGGTTCAGCTGTTTTCACAGAAAACATGTATGAACTTAGGCTGCTCCTACCTGGGTACCCCAGGACACTCTGTCCTTCCAAATAAATACATTCATCAGTAAATAAATAAATAATCAATAAATAATAAATAGTCAATCATCACAAGTGAAATCATAAATAGAAGGGGGCAGGCAAGGGGTGGGCTCCACATCTCAGAGAAGAGTGCAGAAACATCTGAGCAGAGGAAGACCTGGCTCTGTGCGTGTCAAGTTGTAGGTGAGGACTTCTCAGGGGCTATTCTGAAGCGTCTGTCCAGAACCCACAGCTCCCTGGCCCCCACATTCTAGATGTCCCAGGTTGAAGCCAAGGATCTGAATCTGAAGTCCCCAGTGAGTTCTGGAGGCCTCAGCTTGAATTCTGGGTGTGGCCAGTGCCATACAATCCTCACTGCCAGGTGCAGGTGCTTGAAATTGTAAGCTTGAGGTCTGAGCCCCTGTTTCCCTTTCTAAGCCAGAAGCTCAGAAGGACTGAAGGATGGCGTGAGGGGGCAGGGGAGAGGTGCGCGGCCAGTCCCCTCACAAGGCAATGATGCCAAAGTACACCTGCCCTGACTCGGCCAGGTCAAGATAGTCGGGCAGATTGACTTCGGTGCTGAGTCGGTCTCCCTTCTCCAGCTGGAAGACTCCACCCTGGTAGATGGGCTCATACCAGGCCATGGGCTCAGTCCCCTCGGGGGTCTCCTTCTGGCAGGGGCTCTTGATGGCAGAAAGGAGGTTGACCTTGTTCGGGTAGGAGACAGCGAAGCGGCTGACCGTGTGAGTAAGGAGCAAGTAGGAAGGGCAGGCTTGACCCTTGAAGAGCACCTGGGAGTAGACGAGGTAGAGCCCATCCCTGGGCACCACCAGCTGGTTGTCTATCAGCTTCAGGCCATTGGCCAGGAGGGCGTTAGCGCGCTGGCTCAGCCACTCAAGTTGGCCCTCCTTTTGTGGGTTTGCTGGAGGAAAAGAGAGGGAGGGCGGAGTGAGTCAGTGTGACTCTGACAGTTCGCCCTCCACATCCTGGCCCCCAACTTCTGCCCACCCTCACATCCGGTTCCTGCCCCTCCATAGGCCTTCCCACATCCCATCTGGCCATGGGGTTCTGAGCACCCCCAGGAAGCTGTAATGTTCCCTGGCTATTTGGAGCAGCCCAAGGTTGTGACTCACAGTGGCCCCCAAATCTAGCTGCCCCTCAGCCTGGTTCAGCCCTCAGTTCTCCCTCCCAGTCTCTCTTGCTCCTTCGTGTCCAAGATGTACATTCCAGACTCTTACCTACTACGTGGGCTACGGGCTTGTCACTTGGGGTGCGAGAAGCTGATCCTGGAGAGAAAAGAGGGAAAGAGAAAGTTTAGATCCCCTTACCCTTTCTGGACAACACCTTCCTACTTTTATCTCTGTTCCTTCTCTCCTAAAACCCAAGCTCTAAACCCCACATCCCCCAACTGCTTCCACCTAGGACTACACCGCCCAGTCCCCTAAACCCTTTTCTCCCTCCTCCACAAACCCAGAGTTGTAAAAGTGTTGAAGATACTTACTGAGGGTCTGGGCCAGAGGGTTGACTAGATGGAGGTTCTTTGGGAACTGCTGGGGGAAAGGGGGAGGATTAACATCGGGGAATCACTGCAAATGAACAACAGCTCATCCAACTTTGTGCTCTGCCCTCTCTTCATCCATTCCTTGATCCTCCCTCCCTTCCTCCCTGCTTCCCTTCCCTCCATTCAACAACCCCCTCATGAAGTACTTCATCCCTCTTCATTCCCCCGCCTCTCTGCTTATCTCTATCTTGCCATCTCTGTCCATATCAACTGATTTTTCCTTATTGCTCTGCCCACAGCCCACATCTCTCTCCACATCTTCCATTCTGTAAACATATCTGCTTGCACATTCATTCATTCATTGGCTTGTACACAGCCTGTGTTGAGGGAGCACCCTCCTCCTGTCTTCGGTCCCCAGCTCTCCCCACATCTCTTTTTGCTGTGCACCTTTCTCCCGCCCATCAGTACCCTCAACTCCCGTCAGCTCTGTCAGGGTGGCTGAGTGGAAGAGAGGCCGGCACAGTACTCACCTCTTCGCCCTGAGGGCCGATCACTCCGAAGTGCAGCAGGCAGAAGAGCGTGGTGGCTCCCGCCACAAGCAAGAAGGAGAAGAGGCTGAGACACAGGCAACGCTTGGAACCTTGGGAGGCCTCTGTCTTCTTGGGGAGCTGTCCCTCCGCCAGCTCCACGTCCCGGATCATGTTTTCAGTGCTCATGGTGTCCTTTCCCGAGGAAGGTGGTGGAGCCAGGGGGCTGTGTGTGTGAGAGAGGAAGACAGCAACTTCAGCTGGTGCTGCTCTGGCAGGGTAGCGTCTAAGAGTTACTGATAGTGGGGCTTCTGGAGTTGCCTCTCTCCCTTCTAGCTGGTCCCCGGTGTCCTCACTGAGTGAGCTTCTCTGGCTGGCTGTGCAGACGGCTGCCTTTATAGCCCGCGGGCCAGAGGAGGGCGGGGAAAGGCTCTCGTTCAGCGAGTGGAAAACTTCCTTGGTGGAGAAACCCATGAGCTCATCTGGAGGAAGCGGTAGTGGGCTCTGCACCTTCTCTCTCGGTTTCTTCTCCATCTCCGGGGCGGGGGTTTGGAAAGTTGGGGACACCCAGGCATCGGGGATACTCCTCGCCTTCCCTACCTGGATTCTGAGGGAACGTCTTGAGTCAGTTGCCAATGTGTGCACCGTAGTCTGGGGAGCTGGTCCTCCCTGCTCCCGCCCCCTACAATGCTTGCTTTGGTGGGGAACAAGTTTGTGGGCTGCTGGCCTCTGATTTACAGACAGGACTTGTGTTGTGGTAGAACTTGCAACAGGAGGGGCTTCAGGTGGCTGAGTTCTTGAGTGGGAGGAGCTAGAGCAGAGAGGAAAGTGGTGCTGGGTCCCAGACAGGTGTCTGAGTCCCTGGAGGCGGCGGGGGGGGGGGGGGGGGGGGGGGAAGGGGGGGGTTGCTGGAGGCCAGGCAGATCAGGGCGTGCATGGGGCCCCTGGCAGGGCTTGGTGAGTGGGCGTGTAGCAGGGACAAGTCTGGGACAGCCCCAGAGGGAATGAAATCAGCCCTGGGAATTCACACCCATCTCTTGCTCCCCAGGCCCTTGCTTCTCCTTTCATTCTGATCCTGGATCTGCATTACTGGTTTCAATCTTGGCTTCCAAGGGAATTCTGGAATCCAGTTTTTTTTTTTTTCACCATCCCCTGCAGGTCCACAAAAGCCTGCCATATGCCACACCCCTGGGCCTGGGGGCTGTCACACTTCTCAGTGTCCTGTGCAAGAATCACTCCTTCATCTGCACCCTCATTTCCCGGGACAGCTCTCATTTTGTGGGATCATTTCTCCCCAGAGACCTCCTGTATCCCCCATCCTTCCTTGTGTCCATAGCTCTTAGAGACCCCTTCCCGTCTCCCACCCCTGCAAGTCCCCAGGCCACCCTTATTCCTGCTTTCCCAGTTCATCCTTAGGTTTCCCTGCAGCAGGTTGACTGCCACGCCCATGGGACCTGGCTTCACACCCCTGGCTCTCCTGGGGTCTCTTCTCTTCAGCTGTGTGGGGCCACACAGCTCCTGACACACCTCCACACCAGCCATGACCCCCCCGGCCCCGCCCTGAGGCCCTCATCCCTCTCTGCACCCCACAGAGAGGTCTGGGAAATGCTCCCTTCCCAGAAAGAAGAAACAACACAGGCAGACAGCGTTTCAGAGAAAATAGGTTTATTGGGCTTCACCGAGGGTGCAGATGTCGCCCTCTGGGGTGTCTGGTCAAGCAGTGGTGGCTTAGAGGGCCTTTCGCTTCCTTCTAAGGCCCCTCAGTTCCTCAGACCTATTCTCTCTCCCTCTAGGTGAACCTTGTGCCAATGCCTTCTCACTCTCTTTCATCCCTTCAGCCTGCTCAATGCTCTCTCTTCATGCTCCATAAATAAATAACTTAAATTTCCCCCTTTATAAATAGTCCCCCTTCCCACTTCTAGTCTTTCACTCAAGCTGCCCCATATCCAGGTCCTGGCCCCACTAGACCGGTGGGAATGGAAGAGCTGCTCTGTGCTGGGAATTTCTAGGCAGAACATTGGGGTGGTTCAGGGGGGTGTGGTCCCCTGGGGTGCCTGGAATTCCTTCTTTGACAGCACCAGATGACTTGAGTGCAGAAGACTTGAGACTGTTGGAACCGTCAAAGGGCGGGGTGGAGAGGTGCGATGATCCTTGACACAGGATGGAGGCAACATAGGAGAAGGCCTTGAAACAAAAAATTTTCCCCTTCCTTTCTGGATCTTTCTAAGGTCTACAGAGCAAAAGCTCCAAAGAAGACAGTGCTGGGGCTGAGGAGTAAGTGGGAGATGCCGTCAGTGTGGGTGGACAGCTGGTCTCCCTTAGTGAGCAGGAACACGGCGCCCTGGTACACGGAGCGCACCCACGGGCCCTGTGGCCCTGGGCACACGGACTTCTGGGCGCTGAGGAGAGGCACGTGGAAGGAGTACTGGGAGGAGAAGAGGTGGACCTCATGGGCCAGGTAGAGGGGATTGGGGACGGTCTTGGTGGAGCAGCCCTCCCCGGAGAAGACCACCTGGGAGTAGACGAAGTAGAGTCCACTGACAGGGACCAAGAGGGAGTTGTTGCTCAGGGAGAAGCCATGGCGGAGAAAGGCCCGATCGGTGTTGGCCCTCCAGCGTAGCGAATCATGTGTGTTGGGATCTCCTGGAAAGAGCCACAGGGGATAGGGATACAGGGTCAAGGGGCTAAGTCAGTGGACTCATTCCTGAGGAAGTAGGCTTGGAGGACTGAGAGCCAGGGTCATTGTTAGGGGTAGGGAGTAGGAGGCGGTGCTGGTGGGCTACTTGTATTTTTAGCGGAGTTGGGGAGGGTATGGGTTGTACTTGGGTCCCTGGATGGGGTGTAACAGGAGACCCGGGGGCTATGTGTCTAAGGGTCAGGTGGATGTTTACCAACGAGGTGAGCAGCAGGTTTGAGAGTGCTGTGGCTGAAGCGCTTCTGGACGTGCTGATGGGCAGTCCGGGCAGCTGAGGACGGGAAACCAGCACCTGGGAGCCCCTAGGGGAGAACAGAGCAGAGGGAAGCTGTGGGGTTCAGGTCCAACTGGGTCACCCCATCAGCTCCCGTCCTCCCAACCGCCTCACCTGGGCCCCTGGCAGCAGGGCTAGCAGTAGCCCCAGAAGGAGGGGGAGGTAGAGACGTCCAGGTGCTGTCATGGGGAGAACCTGCAGGGAGGGAGAGAGAGAGAGAGACAGTGAGTGGGGCGGGACCCACAGCGGAAGAGGGACCTCCCGCCCGACCGCCTGCCTGCTGAGACAGCCACCCCCAAAGACAGGGCGACAGACAGAGAAGAAAACAGACAGAGATACAGGCAGGGAAGCCCCGAGGTGAGCAGAGGGAGGCAGAAAGAGAAAGAGACAGGCAGGAAGGGAGCAGAATGCACATGATAGGGTCGGGGTTGTCGGGGGAGGGGGAAGAGACAGACTCACAGCTGGAGGAGCAGACACTCAAGGGCAAACCAAAAGCAAATCCGCCAAGGCCCAGGCTTAAGCAGGCAGGTGGGAGGGGTGGGGAGAACCCGGGCAGGAGGCGCAGGAGGGGCAGGGGCCCAGGTGGCCCAGCTAGGAGGCGAGGAGCTGGCTCCTGGAGCAGCCCAGGGAGCTGGGCAGTAGAACCTCACCTGCTGTGTGGGGACCCTGGGCCCGGACGCGCGGGTCCCTTTATAGAGGAAGCGGCAGTGGCAGCGTGGCAGGCGGCGGGCGGGTTCTAGGTCGGGGTTGGGGCCCGGGGAAGCCCCCAGGGTGTAGAAGATGCTGCTGTTTGAGTTGAAGGCAGGAAAGGCTGGGGCCTAGGAGGGAACCACAGGCGAGGGGCTCGGGCAACTGATTTCTGGGAAAGGGAGCGGGGGTCAGGGGAACCGTGGGCTGGGCCCTCCGAGTAGTGAGGTCAGGCCCAGGAGTTCCAGGGAAGGCACAGGAAATTCGGGGAGCAGCTGAGGTGCGGGCTGGAGACCGGGTTCTCTGAACTGCATGCACCCCTACCCTCCTGCTAACAGGATGACCATGCAAGCTCCTGTGCCTCCGTGCTTGCATGTCCCAGCGTTGGGCACTTCCTGGCAGGTTTCAAATCACGACATTACCCCCTCCCATATCCCCTTGTGTGGGACACTTTGCTGTGGACCTGTTTTCTGGGGAAAAGGAGCCTCCTTTCCCGCTCAAAGTGTCCTGGGTTGAAGATGAATTTAGGGCAGCCTGATTCACAGGGAATGCCCATGCATTCTTGTGTGACAAGCTCCCACACACCCAGAAGGGCACTTTTCCTCTCATCCCAGCCCAGGTGCCCTCACAGATTTCTGTATCCTGAGTGAACACACCCTCGGGGTTCTCGCTGCGGGAGACCCCTGCTGTGCTGATAAAGGAAGCTTCCACAGTGCCACCCTGCCCCTGGCCCCATGCCCCGCCTCAGGAGGTTTAGGAGTTGTAGTACAGCTAAGGGAATCACCTGGAGGCAGCATTTGCACTGTTTTAATGTGTCTCGTTCTTTTTTTAAAAAGATTTATTTTTATTATTTTTTTTTATTGGAAAGGCGGATATACAGAGAGGAGAGACAGAGAGGAAGATCTTCCATCCGATGATTCACTCCCTAAGTGAGCGCAACGGCTGATGCTATGCCGATCCAAAGCCAGGAGCCTCTTCCGGGTCTCCCACGCAGGTGCAGGGTCCCAAAGCCTTGGGCAGTCCTCGACTGCTCTCCCGGGCCACAGGCAGGGAATTGGAAGGGAAGCAGGGCTGCCGGGATAGAACCGGCGCCCATATGGGATCCCGGGCGTGCAAGGCAAGGACCTTAACCACTTGCGCCACCGCGCCGGGCCCAACGTCTCGTTTTTTTTATTTCCTGTTGTTGATGGATAACTTAGGTCAGGAAGGTGCATGCTTCTTACCTGTGTAATGATGAGTTTTTCCAATGTGTGTGACTCTGGAGCTGTCACCCAGTTCCATATGCTTTCAGATCCCCAATAGGTTCCCCTGGACCCCTTCCCAGTCTGTGTGTGGGCATTGGGTTTCCTCATTAGTTTTTACCTGATATGAAAACTGTTGATATGAACCAGCATAACAGTTTTCTCTTAGCTCGCAAATCATCAGTTTTAAGAAAATTTCTTTTTACATTTTTAAAAATTTATTTTAAAATATTTATATTTGAAGGGCAGAGTTTGGGCCTGGCATGATAGCCTAGTGGCTAAAGTCTTTGGCATGCACATACCAGGATCCCATATGGATCCCGTATTCTGGCTGTTCCATTTTCCATCCAGCTTCCCGCTTCTGGCCTGGGAAAGCAGTCAAGGATGGCCCAGAGTTTTAGGACCCTGCACCCATGTGGAAGACCCGGAAGAAGCTCCTGGCTCCTGGTTTCAGAATGGCTCAGTTCCAGCCATTTTGGCTGTTTGGGGAGTGAACCAACAGAAGGAAGATTTTCTCTCTGTATTTCCTTCTCTCTGTTTATCTGCCTTTCCAATAGATAGATAGATAGATAGATCTTAAAAAAGAAAAAGAAAAAGAAAGAAAGAAAGAAAGAAAGAAAGAAAGTCAGAGTTACAGAGAGAGAGAAATATCTTCTATTCTTTGCTTCATTCCCAAATGGCCACAATGGCCAGAGCTGAGCTGGTTCCAAAGCCAGGAGCCAGGATCCTCCTTTGAGTCTTCCTCCAATGGGTAGAGGGAACCAAGGACTTGGGTCCTCCTCCAACGTCCTCTCTGGCCACTAGCAGAAAGTTGGATCAGAAATGAAGCTGCCAGGACTCCAAACAAGCCTATATAGGCAGGATGCTGGCACTTCTGGCCCTAGGAAAGGAAAGTTCTAAAGATAAGTTTAATATAAGATAATACCAACTGGTCACCTCAATCATTATGGCTGTTGCTATTGCTGTGGTGCGCCTTGTATGGACAGTTATGGAGGGGCTGGTGCTGGTGCAAGTACTGTACTGGGCACACTGCATTATTCTCAGGCACAGGTGCAGGAGGGGTTGTGTGTCTTGCCGTAGTAGATCATATCCTGTGCACGCAAGAGCTGTTATGCCCATTGCTCTCCCCACTGGGCCCCAGCTTTCCTAGTCCTAGATGTCATTCCTTTTCATTCTGTAGTACAGGGGCAGTAAGAGGTGACCCCTTTCCTCATTTCTCATAAGGTCTTGAAAAGCAGTCCCATTGTAACAGATTAACAAAAGAGAAAGTACAACACATTTATTTGATGAAACTTTTGCATGATACAGAAGAGCCAAAGGCCCAGGGAAAACTTTCTCTGTTTATGCTTAGAATTGGTGGAGAAGAGCGGGTGCTGTGTTGTACCCTGAATCCTCTGTCTGTGGTGCAGGCATCTCACAGGAGCACCAGTTCGAGTTCCGGCCACTCCCCTGCCAATCCAGCTCCCAGCTAATGACCTGGGAAAGCAATGGAGCATGGCACAATGCTTGGGCCTGTGTACCCATGTGGGAGACCTGGAGGAAGTTCTTGGCTCCTGGCTTCGGATCAGCCCAGCTTCAGCCTTGCAGTCATTTGGGAAGTGAATGGCCATTTGGGCCATCTTCCAGCAGTTGGAAGATCTTTCTATCTCCTCTCTCTGTAACTTTGCTTCTCAAATAAAAATAACCAAAACAAAATTTTTAAAGATATGTTTTAAATTGGAAGATCAGATATACAGAGAGGAGGAGAGGTAGAGCATTGATTCCATCCATTGATTCACTCCCCAAGTGACTGCAATGGCTGGAGCTGAATTGATCTGAGGCCAGGAGCCTGGAGCTTCTTTTGGGTCTCCCATGCAGCTGTAAGATCCCAAGGCTTTGGGCCATCCTTGACTGCTTCCCCATGTCACAAGCAGGGAGCTGGATGGGAAGCAGGGCCGCCGGGACATGAACTGGCGCCCATGTGGGATCCTGGTGCATGTAAGGCGAGGACTTTAGAGGCTAGGCTACCGTACTGGGTCCAAATAATTTTTTTTTAAAAAGAGTAGATGAATGGGCATCCGTGTAGAAATGTGACTGAACAAAAAGGGGCCAATCTAGTGGTAATAGACTGGGTAGGAGAACCAGTAAGTCTTCTCTGTTCTGCATGGCACTCCTTTCCAGCTGTGGGGCAGGATCCCTCTCTTGGAGTGAAGTCTGATAGCCCATTGTCAGACAAGCTATGCCATGGTTTGAACGTGACTTGACATTCAGTCCCCAAAGCCTTGTGTGAAGGGCCTGAAGAGGTTAATGGTACTTATGGTGTTTCAAGGTAGAACCTTTGGGAAGTGATTAGATTAGGTTCAGTGTTTTTGGGTGGAGCCCCCATAATCGATCTAAGGAGAGACAGGCAGAAGTGTGCTCCTTCTCTCCTGCCATGTGATGTGTCTCATCCGGCCTTGCTCTGTGACCCTGCAGAGCCATGAGCTAAGGTAAACCTGTTCCCTGTGTAACAGCCTGCCCGGTGCACTTCACTGGAGTGAAGAAAGGCTGATTATACAAGTTGAATCATGGAATGTCCTTATTGCCAGTTCTTATACAGAAAGGCAGAGGGGATAGTTCAACTAACGTTTCTAGGTTTTGTGGCTGAATTTGGAAAAGAGTGGTTCTAGGTTCCAAGATTTGTCTTGAGGTGTAAGGAGGGGAGTGGGAGCAAGAGAAAGGAGGGCAGGCAGAGAAGGTGGATACTCCCGAGGCCTTGCAGTCTTCCTTCCACTTGGCAGGCATTAGAATTTGGGGTGTAGTGTTCTGGAATCCAACAGATCTCATTGCATCTCTTTGGCTTTTCCTCTGTTTCACAAATGTGTAGCAAGCACCTTGTCCACCCATTGGGCATACCAGTGTGTGAGCTGGGCCCCTGATGTGTGGAGCCCCAGGATGAGCAAATGTAGTGATCCCATGATGGCAATCCCAACCACAGAAAATCTGGGACCAGCACGATAGTTTAGCAGCTAAAATCTTCATCTTGCATGTGCCAGAATCCCATATGGGCATCCATTCTAATCCCAGTGGCCCTACTTCCCATCCAGCTCTCTGCTTGTGGCCTGGGGAAGCAGTAGAGAGCAGCTCAAGGACTTGGGACCCTGCACATGCATGGGAGACCCGGAAGAAGCTCCTGGCTTCTGGCTTCAGGTCACCTAAGCTCCAGCCATTGCAGCCACTTGGGGAGTGAATTAATGGATGGAAGATCTTTCCTCTCTGTATATCTGACTTTCCAATAAAAATTAAAATAAATATTTAAAAAAACACAGAAAGCCCATGGGTCCTGATCTGGTGGACAGGCGAGTCAGATGCAAATGATGAAGGGAAATGGACAGGGAGGGCCAGCCCAGGTGAAGGATCCATGTGTGCAAGGGATACAAGTGAGTCAGCAGTGCTGAGATGTGCAGAAAGAGCAGCGGTGCAGCTGGGGTGGGTGGAGGGAGTGCAGAATATAGCTCGGAGGGCTTAACCCCAAGTTTAGATTTCACTAAATATGGTGGAAAGCCACCTAAAAGATCAAGCGAGAAAGGAAACCACCAGACAGATTTGTCAGAAAAAAATGAGCCTGGGGGCCAGCATTGTGGTGCAGTGGGTTAAGCCACAGTTGCCTTTGGTCACATTGCATGTCATCAGAGTGTTGGTTCAATCCTGGCTTCTCTGCTTCTATCCCAGCATCCTGCTACTGCACCCGGGAAGGCATCAGATAGTGGCCCAAGAACTTGGGTTCCTGTCACCCACACGAGAGAT